ATGTGCCATTTCTGTTCTATTTATCTAAAAACCATGCAAAATACTATACTCTTTATTCTGAATATTGAAGCTAAAGAAATTGTATAAATGTTTCTACAGAGACCAGGTTCTTCGGATCACTGCAAAAAATGCAGAGCAGATTTCTCTCCTGAAGGAACTCCCTGAACAGACACTCGGGGTAAGTGTTTGTGAAGCCCACATTTGATTGTTTCAGATTTGTTGGATAACAGTGACTGTACTTAGATTTGTATCATTGTTTGAATAGCATTAGCTGCTAAATGATAGTAGAAGTTTATATGAATATATTATAAATTATTATTAATATATAATATTTTATTTATATTTATAACATTGTTATATTGCTATATTTATAACAATAACAATAAAAGCTAGTAAGCTACAATACATCTGATCTGACAAAACCCACAAAAAACCCACACGAGATCCGATTTTTCGCATCCGATCTGAGCCACTTCCAAATGTTTTTTTATTTTAAATCAGATGTATATCCGACATCTGGACATTCAACCTACGTCTAAACACTTATAGGCCAACCTGATTCCCCTTTAAATTCCAAGCCACCACAAGGCAAAAGTGACAAATTTGCCCACAAAGATAGCTTTTTAATGTTGTTTATTAGAAGCAGATGTGTCCTGTACACAGTACGCTCGCAGCTTTTTTATTGAGGTGAGAACTTTAGAAAGGCCAAAACCAGAGGATCTACCATTTGCATAGTAAAGCGATCACTGACAATCACTTTTGCTGATATTTTACCTACCCCCTTGTCATCCAAGATGTCCATGTCTTTCTTTCTTCAGTCGAAAGGAAATTAAGGTTTATGATGAAAACATTCCAGGATTTTTCTCCATATAATGGACTTCAATGGGAACCAAACGGTTCAAGGTCCAAATGAGAGTTTCAGTGCAGCTTCAAACGGCTTTAAACAACACCAGACGATGAATGTAGGCTAAACGCCGATATCGGAAACCAGTCATGTCAACCGGCGGGTAAACAGGCGGGTCAAAAGATCAGATCTGTGCATTTGCAGTGTAATAAATAAACACGGCTATTTATATATACTATTATATATAGATTAAAATATACTCACATTATATTATATAATGTACTGCATCTTTCTGTGTTCAGCTGGACTTCTGGATGGAGCCCGTTCACGAGTCCCTGCCTGTGGATGTTCGTGTCCCCTTTCACAGCCTCCAGGCTGTCAGGGCCTTCCTGGCATACAATCAGATCCAGTATAATGTCATGATTGAGGATGTTCAGGTGGGACTATTTCAAAGCTGTGGTCGAACAAAAAAAAACTGAAAAATCCTTATACTTATTTGATGGCTTTCTGTAACCTAAGGATTTGCTGGATGATGAGGAACGCGAGATGGTGAAATTTCGCACCTTTCCGAGAAGTACCGATGATTTTGTCTACACCACCTACCATGACCTGGACTCTGTGAGTGGTGCAGCTTTAATTCAATAGCTTTACAAGACATTAAACTTTCAAAATCAGCCTTTTCAAAGAAACTATGTATTTTTATTGTACTATAAAATTGTTTGTATCAAATTTGTTTATGACTTCAGTAAGTTTAAGCCAACAGAACGTAGTTTTACGTACATCCATGCATTTGATCTTGACCATACTGTTTGCAGATTTACTCTTTCATAGACATGCTTGTGGCAGAACACAGTAATCTGGTCAGCAAAATTGTGATTGGTCAGAGCTATGAGAGCCGTCCCTTGAACGTCCTGAAGGTAGGCCACGATTCACAATCAATAACAATCTTATATTATTTGTGCTTATTGTACTATTAGAAAACTTGTCTTATTACGTAGCCTATGGCAGGATTTAATAGAGATGGAAATACATTATTTAATCCCAATTTGCTCATATCTACAGTATATGCCAGATTAGTGTGTCCCAAATCATAGTGTTATGCCAATAGTAAAAACTTAGTGCACACCACCTGATTATGCTATGATTTCAGTTAACTAATAATGATTTTTATTATAACAATTTTAGTTATAGATGCTAATAAGGTGGTATCAAGATGCAATTTTATTTCACTGCTATACTACTTGCTGAAAATTGATGCTTTACAATTTCTAATGTGGTGTTTAATGTAGAATTTTATTAATTGGGATGCATGCAGCGTAAGTAATATAAATCCCAGGATAAATGATATTTCCACTTGTTCATTATGACTAATATCCTGTCACTCAGTTCAGCACTGGAGCGAACCGTCCAGGTCTCTGGATTGACACTGGCATCCACTCCAGAGAATGGGTCACCCAGGCCAGCGGAATCTGGTTTGCCAAGAAGGTCATCTGAAATTCTGGAATATAATCTTCGACAACATAACTGAATCAAACATTTATACCAATGTATTTTTTTGTCGACCAGATTGTGACTGACTACGGACGTGACCCCGTCCTCACCGACATCCTGAACAACTATGATATCTTCTTGGAGATCGTCACCAACCCTGATGGTTTCGCCTACACCCACAGCAGTGTGAGTTTGATGCATGGAAGACATTACATGCACATTCACTTTAACAGAACAATATTCTCATGAGATTTGCATTTTTTCTTGTGGAATGCAATTGGTTGTTTAAGGACCGCATGTGGCGTAAAACCAGAAAGCCAAATCCTGGCTCCAGCTGTGTTGGAGTTGATCCCAACAGAAACTGGGATGCTGGCTTTGGAGGTGAGATGCTTTCATCATTGAAGTTGTTGGCCATCTGGGTACTGGTAGAGAAATAATGTTACTTGTAACTTTTAAGGGGTTGTAAAGATTTAAAGAGTGTGTAATAGTTTCTTGTAATTGTCTGTTTTTCATCTATAGGCCCTGGATCCAGCGGTAACCCATGCACTGAGACTTACCATGGACCCAGTGCTCATTCCGAGCCAGAGGTCAAGGCCATTGTGGACTTTGTGAACTCTCACGGCAACCTCAAGGCCTTTGTGTCCATCCACAGCTATTCCCAGATGCTTCTGTATCCATATGGATACAAGAGCACTCCTTCCCAGGACCAGGCTGAACTGGTATGCATGTGGAAACACACCATTTTAGATTTATTTAACAACATTTAATATTTATTCTTTATTGTCTCTTCAGCATGAGCTCTCTAGAAAGGCCATCTCTGAGCTGCAGTCATTGTACAACACTAGCTACAGATATGGAAGCATCATTACCACCATCTGTAAGTTTAATAAGAGTCACTTTATTTTAGTTTTGGATCACGGTTACCCTGCTAACAATCTCTGTTTTGTTCACAGACCAAGCCAGTGGAGGCACTATTGACTGGACTTATGATCAGGGCATCAAGTACTCCTACACCTTTGAGCTGAGAGACACTGGTCGCTATGGTTTCATCCTGCCAGCCAATCAGATCGTCCCGACTGCTGAGGAGACCTGGCTGGCCCTGATGGCCATCATGGAGCACACCAAGAATAACCCATATTAAACAGCAATATTTCTTTGAAAGATGTTGAAGCGAATAAAAGAGTGTTAATAAAAACAACATAAAAAAATCACTATCTTATGTATGTTGTTTTGATGTACAATATTAAATATAAAGAATACATTGTTTAGTCCTCAAAAGCATCTGGATACTGATATATCATCAGCCGTTTTAATCTAGCAGTATTGTTTAAAATTGGATATTTAATTAATGCTGATTTACTCTATTTTTTTACATTTAGATTATATTTACCATCACGTAATTCTCTCTTACAGTCCATCTTTAAAATCACCACTAAATGCATGTTTTAATCAAATCTCTAAATGAATATCCATTTTTATACTGTACATTATAATGTTGTGATGCCTAAATTCAGTTTGTTAAATATTTAATTTAATTTTTAGTGTAATTTATTTAGACAAAGGAGTATATCATTTTAATATAGACCATCTATTGGTTATAGACCATAATATGTAAAAAATAATTATTACAACTTCATCTTCTCCAGAAAAAGAGCTCAAAATTTCCTCCCCAGTCCAAGAAGAGCACATATATGGCGTTAAAGTAATTTGATACATTAAGCCAAAAAGCAAAAATAATGTGTTTTGAATTCATGCAACGTTGTGACATCATTATTTACATAGCCTATAATGCTTGTTGGGTGTTGAGAAACCCATAAATCAGAATAATGAGGAAGCAGGACAGACGTTTTCATTCCTAGAAAAACTATAGTGATATAAGACTAAAATGGGCATTGATCTTTAAATTCCTCCAAAGGATTCTGGAGTTCCTTCAGGAGAGAAATCTGCTCTGCATTTTTTGCAATGATCCGAAGAACCTGGTCTCTGTAGAAACATTTATACAATTTCTTTAGCTTTAATATTCAGAATAACGACTATAGTGTGTTTTAGATAGATAGAAGAGAAAAGAAACTGGCACATTAGGAAATCAAAGTCTCTTTCTCTGTATTTTAGCTGCTAATATATCATAGGTGAATATGATAACACATTTATTTATTAACCGAGAATTTGAAAATCAACATTTTCACTGGCATCGCCATAAAAAAACTGTAGGCTACTTATTTGTTTATGATTCTGAACCCATTCTGACTTAAGGACAAAATACAAAAGGATCACTTCACTCTCGTCATTTCTAAAAAAAATATTACCATCAGCAAATTCGCAAAGCAATGTCAAAAACATCAAAGAAAACAAGTTTGCATAAAAGGCATGAGCATTATAAAAAAATATTAACTGTAGGGACTAGTCTGAATTTCCAGTTTACCCTCTCATTTGACAGTGAACCATGGACTTGAAATAAACACAACAACTTGGTTTCTTGTCAATAAACCCTAAGTTACTATTTTAAGAAACAGGAGAGAAAACAGATGCCCTTTTCTCATCCCTTTAAACTCCATCATCAATGTTTTATAAGATTGTGAGAACCAAAGCAGCAGGTTTGTCTGAGCCCTGACCCTGTTAGCTCCTCAAATCCAGTCATAATCACCTCCATGATAGTAGGCCTATATATAAAGGGGTTGCTTACAATGAGAAACTTCACTTCAAGCAGCAAGATGAAGGGGTTACTGGTTCTAGCGGCTCTTTTTGTGGCCGTATTTGGCAAAGTGACTTTTGAGGGGTGAGTTCTCATGTCTCCAAGTATCCCTTACTGTATGCTTTCAAATTCTCAGTTAATAAATAAATGTGTTATCATATTCTCCTGATATACTAGCAGCTAAAATACAGAGAAACAGATTTTGATTTCCTAATGTGCCAGTTATTTTTCTGTTATATCTGTCTAAAACATACTATAGTCATTATTCTGAATATTGAAGCTAAAGAAATTGTACACTCTAAAAAATGCTGGGTTGTTTTAACCCAATTTTGGGTAAAATATGGACAAACCCAGCCATTGGGTTACATTTTTAAATTACATTTTTAACCCAATGGCTGGGTTTGTCCATATTTTACCCAAAATTGGGTTAAAATAACCCAGCATTTTTTAGAGTGTATAAATATTTCTACAGAGACCAGGTTCTTCGGATCACTGCAAAAAATGCAGAGCAGATTTCTCTCCTGAAGGAACTCCCTGAACAGACACTCGGGGTAAGTGTTTGTGAAGCCCAAAGATCATTTGATTTTTTTAGAAACTTTTGTTAGATGTGATTAATCGGTTTGACAGCACAATGTTATAATTCATTATTACTATTATATAGTTCATGTTTTATTCATATTTTCAATATTTCCTATTTTTTATATTCATATTTTAATTTAATATAGGCTAAATACTTTATTACGTTTTATTTCCTTCTGTGTTCAGCTGGACTTCTGGATGGAGCCCGTTCATGAGTCCCTGCCTGTGGATGTTCGTGTCCCCTTTCACAGCCTCCAGGCTGTCAGGGCGTTCCTGGCATACAATCAGATCCAGTATAATGTCATGATTGAAGATGTTCAGGTGGGACTATTTCAAAGCTGTGGTCGAACAAAAAAAACCCACTGAAAAATCCTTACTTATTTGATGTCTTTCTGTAACCTAAGGATTTGCTGGATGATGAGGAACGCGAGATGGTGAAATTTCGCACCTTTCCGAGAAGTACCGATGATTTTGTCTACACCACCTACCATGACCTGGACTCTGTGAGTGGTGCAACTTTAATTCATTGAACTTTCAACATCAGCCTTTTTTTAAAGAAACTATGTAGTTTTATTGTACTATAAAATTGTTTGTATCAAATTTGTTTATGACTTCAGTTTATTTTTTGTGTTTAAGCCAACAGAACATAGCTTTACGTACATCCATGCATTTGATCTTCACCATACTGTTTGCAGATTTACTCTTTCATGGACATGCTTGTGGCAGAACACAGTAATCTGGTCAGCAAAATTGTGATTGGTCAGAGCTATGAGAGCCGTCCCTTGAACGTCCTGAAGGTAGATCACGATTCACAATCAACAACAATCTTATGATATTATTTTACTATTAGGAACCTTTAATTACATATAGCAGGATTTAATAGAGATCTATATGCAAAATTAGTGTGTCCCAAATCATTGCAAAATACCAAATCTCAGGTGAGATATTGCACACAAGCTATGATAATACTATGATTCCAGTAATGATTTAATATAATATTTTTAGCTATATAAGGTGGTATCAGATGCAATTTTATTTCACTGCTATACTACTTGCAGAAAAATGGAAGCATTACAATTTCTAATGTGGTGTTCAATGTAGATTTTTATTAATTGGGATGCATGCAGCGTAAGTAATATAAATGCCAGGATAAATGATATTTCCACTTGTTCATTATGACTAATATCCTGTCTCTCAGTTCAGCACTGGAGCGAACCGTCCAGGTCTCTGGATTGACACTGGTATCCACTCCAGAGAATGGGTCACCCAGGCCAGCGGAATCTGGTTTGCCAAGAAGGTCATCTGAAATTCGGAAATATAATCTTTGACAACATAACTGAATCAAACATTTATACCAATGTATTTTTTTGTTGACCAGATTGTGACTGACTACGGACGTGACCCCGTCCTCACCGACATCCTGAACAACTATGATATCTTCTTGGAGATCGTCACCAACCCTGATGGTTTCGCCTACACCCACAGCAGTGTGAGTTTGATGCATGGAAGACATTACATGCACATTCGGTTTAACAGAACAACTATTTTAATGAAATTTGCCCTCTTTCTTGTGGAATCCAATTGGTTGGTTGATTAAGAACCGCATGTGGCGTAAAACCAGAAAGCCGAACCCTGGCTCCAGCTGTGTTGGAGTTGATCCCAACAGAAACTGGGAAAGTGGCTTTGGTGGTGAGATAGCATGTTTGGGATATTGATTCTGATTGATACAAGTATATACAATTACTGTTTCAACTACTACATTATATACTGATTTTCGTCTATAGGTCCTGGTGCCAGCAATAACCCGTGCTCTGAGACCTACCATGGACCCAGTGCTCATTCTGAGCCAGAAGTCAAAGCCATTGTGGACTTTGTGAAATCTCACGGCAACCTCAAGGCCTTTTTGTCCATTCACAGCTATTCCCAGATGCTCCTCTATCCACACGGATACACGGCGACTCCTGCCAAAGACCAGGCTGAACTGGTATGTATGTCACAGTAACATGCTGATTTTCAATCTGTTCAAAACAATTCTGTATTGTCCTTTCAGCATGAACTCGCAAGAAAGGCCATCACCGAACTTAAGTCTTTGTATAACACTGCATATACATTTGGCAGCATAATTACTACCATCTGTAAGTACATTTCCAGTGAACCTAATGCTCTAATCTAATATCATAATGAATATTAATGTCATTGCTAACAATCTCTTTGCTCTCAGACCAAGCTGATGGAGTCACTACTGACTGGACTTATGATCAGGGCATCAAGTACTCCTACACCTTTGAGCTGAGAGACACTGGTCGTTATGGTTTCATCCTGCCAGCCGATCAGATCGTCCCGACTGCTGAAGAGACCTGGCTGGCCCTGATGGTCATCATGGAGCACACCAAGAATAATCCATATTAAACATACAAGAATATTTTTGTGATGAGTCAAAGTACATAACTTTGTAAGTGCATGAAGTAAGGGATAATGTACAGTCAGCTGGTCATTATGACAAAAAGAGGTTTAATCAGATTGTAGATTATTTATCTTATTAAATTGGTTCTTGACAAATTAATAAAGCTATAGACATGAAATGTTTTTATTATTGGAAGTGTAATTCCTGATTTTAACAATTAGCAATTGTTCCAAGTAAAACTTGACATGATGTCAAGAATTATCATTTTAACTACTGATAAATGAATTGTTGAGATCAGAAATTTATATCCTAGGAATGATTAAAAGTCAAAGCAGCTTGCCACAGTTGGTTAAAAGAGGTGTGATGTACTAGTGAATATTAGGTCACTGTAAAGTCTGTTACAATGTACAAAATACATATCTTAGCAACAAGACACTCACTGCCATATCACAGTAATATTAATACTAAATCTGAAGTCAAAGTGATCAGTTGACTTAACTTAAAAAAGCGAGGAAACCAGCCTTATTAAGTCCAAGTAACTTAATTTTTTTCCAAACGCTTAATAGGTTTCCTCACTTTTTTAGTAAATGCTGCACTGTTTAGTTATGAGCAATCTGATTTAGAGCATTGTCAGGGACGACTGCAAACATTACAAAACATTAGATTGCCTTATTAATACTGACACTGACCAACTAGAATCAAGTATTACTGGGAGTTATATGAGTAACTAAAAAGAGAATGGTCATAACGTAAACAGCTCAGCCCATTAGATCAAGTCATTTCTGAACATACATGATAAATATCCTTGAAAGTCATATAGGTACCACTTAGTCATATAAAATTGATCTTTATTCATACTTTCATTACAAAAGAACAAACCAGGTAGTTTTCATTATATAGATTACATTAAATTATTAATTGGTCAATAAAACAAGGTCTAAACTGATTTAAGTCAATCAGCACAGACAACAAAGGCCAAACAAACAAGTCAAAGCTCTTTCTGCCACTCCAAGTACACATTCCACCAACATTGATTGTAAATGCACTTTAAGTTCCTTCATCACGCTGCAACAGACAAAGCAAAATTGCACACAGCAACATCAGCGTCATTAATGCCAGCAATCACGTCTACATTTCATAATATTCAAATCACAGTTAAGCAGATGCAGATGAAGGAAAATCTTCTGCACTGGTTCAGAAAGCGTCAATCGTTTAAATAAATGCACTGAACGAACAGATTAGCTATAGATTTAAGGCCTAAAAAACATCCAGCACATCTAAAATACTTCTAAAGGAATGCGCCATACATACTGCGTCTACTGAGCAAGTAAACATACAGCATGCTCAATGAATAGATCATGTCAGCACAGCTAAAGCAAATAAAATGAGTCCTTCCACTAAGACCTGCTTACTTATGTAACAGAAGACCCCTACATATGCATTTGATGACTGCGCAAATCAGATTTTAAACATGTAGTTTCGATTTGGAGTCAGCAAGTGCAAAGATATGTGAATAAACTGAAATAATAAAAGGACCAATAAAATGTTCAATTTCTTCCAGTGTACTTCTGAGAATTAAACCATGTGCATGTGGCCAGTAGTTTAGAATGTCCATCACAGATGTTCACAAAAGTAAAATATAAAGGCTATTTGCATTGAAGTGAACGCGACAATGGTGAGAGTGAAACGGAAGGTTATTTCCAAGGCCGACTGCTCCGTGAACGAGCGCTTTCTGATCCTGCTACGGATGAGCCCTGTCGACTGCTCCGAACTGTAGACGCTTTGGAGCCAGCGCTGCTAGTGGACAATCTACTGCTGAGACGACCTAAAATGTGTGTGGGGGAAATAGTAATATATTAGTATTAGTATAAGGGTGAGTTTGTTTTCTTTGGTCAGTGAAAATGATTAACTCATTTCATCATTTTTGAAATGGATGACTCACTGCTGGGCTCGCTGGGTATGAACACCTCCTCTAGGTAATGCTGGATTCTGCTGAGGTCTTCTGAAGTGAACCGCCACTTTTTTTCTGCTGCCTGTGACGTTTGCTGTGGCACCGAGCGCTTACGACCTCCTGGTCCCGTGGGTGATGGCAGACAGGAGATGGGAATGGAGCCTGTTGTCATTCCTTCAGGGAATTTCTGATAAACCACTTTTAAACCTTGTTGAGAAAGGAATAGATGAATACTGAAATACTGACAGGATTAACCCATGTGTATTCCTTGGAGATAATCGAGACCCCAATGATCTAGGTATAGGAATAGTAATTTTAAAGGGATAGTTCACTTTGAAATAATTTTTTGATATGTTTTAGCTTACCTCAAGGGCATCCACGATGTAGGTGTCTTTGTTTCCACAGTATTTTCAAGTTTTATATTTTTAGGTCAAACCGTTTGCGTCTATCAGTTATATAATGCAGGTCTATGGTCACCACCTCAAAGAGCATGCACAGAGAAGTCCAAATTAAACATGATTTAATGACTCGTAAATGTAAGTACACACTGATGGCCAAAGACACGAAACGAGCGGTTTGTGTGAGAAAACGAACTTTATTATATAGTTTTTACCTCTTGTAATCACAGTCACATTTACGAGTCATTAAATCATGTTTAATTTGGACTTCCTGTGCATGCTCTTGAGGATGACCTCATATTACCTCCATTATATGACTGAAAGACAAGAACGGTTTGACCTAAAAATATCAAAATTGAAACTACTGTGGAAACAAAGACACCTACATCTTGGATGCCCTTGAGGTAAGTTAAAACATCAAAAATTAATTTCAAAGTGAACTATCCCTTTAAAAGCAACTTCTTATTTTCCCTTCTATGGTAGAAAAAATAATGTAGAAAAGTAATGTAGAGTAATGTAAAGACTTCTACCTGGAAGAAGTCGTCATGATGACTTACCCCCCGACAACATGAAGAGATTCTCAAACCCTCTCTCGCACATGGTGGTGGCCGCTTGACTTGCTATCCTCTCATCTTCATCATACAAAATGATGATCTTTCCAGATGCATTTTTCTGTGTAGCTATTAAAGATTTTAAAACTAGGAATGGGCATGATTACCAAGAACAGAAATTATTGATCGCACAAAAAAAATTTTGACTTTTTATCATGGGGTCCTATGAATGAATGCACATTTGATATTTTTTATTCATGAATGAAATAAATTTGTCATTCCTTCATTCATAGGACCCCCTTATAAGTATTATACATTATAGCGCATTTCATAGATGCACATCAAAGTTTCAATGAATGAATGAATAATAAAATTATTAAAAGTAAAAAAAAATATTATAGTGCATTTCATACATGTACAATGAATAAAAATATTCAATTATTGTGCTTCGGTGCATTAGATTTAATACAGAACAAATATTTTCACATATCAGGAATAAAAGGATACGTAATCAAGGACTTCTTTTGTGTATGGGTTCATTGTCCTTGATAAGGTCGCTATGGGGTAACTGTAAGCTGAGTGCAAAAAAAACGATTTTTAATAATATTATATTAATGTATTTCATGCTTTGAGCAAAAATCTGTTTTCCAGGTAAGTTTCCTACCACTGATAATATGGCACTGGTCATACTGGTCTCTGTCCCGCACATCCAGCAACAGATAAGGGCAGTCAGGTAGGGGGCACTCTATGGTGTTGGAGGTAGACACTGGAGACAGTCGGATGGTCTTCTGTCCGTTCTTGTCCAGATCCAGTTCTCCCACGCCACTGATGACACTATGAATGAGCCCAGAGATTCTCGATTACATCGAGTGAGGGCAGTCAGGGGTGTTCAGTGTTACAGGCTATATCTCATTGTTCCCCCCCACAGGCTCTCTGAGGACGGAGTCCGATTGCACCGACTGTCCCCAAACAGACTCAATGGCACTTGGGGCCATGAGAAAGCAGCCTGGCCAATGAGAGCTCTTGTGGTTGTACAATAGAGGAAATGCTAGAGGGGGGATCAGTTAGATGTATAAAATGATATTCTGATGTGACCGGTTGAATTAAGGACATGGACAGGTGTGTCACAAACACAAAAGTGATTTGACTACCTTTGGAGTGTAGATCTAGGAGAAAACACAGTGTCGCCAGATTCCTCATTGTTGATACACTGTGTGTTGAGAAGTGTCGGCTCTGGGGAGCCATTAGTCGAGAGACCGTCGAGCCCCGGTGACGCTGAGAATATTGAAATATCATCATCTGAAACCAGATACAAAAAAACAGTTATCAGGGCGTTGCTATGAGATAGTATCTATGAGATAAAACATGAGATAGTAGGGAAAAACTGCTTTGCAAAGCTCACAAAGCTTTTGCACTCCCTTAAAAAATAAACAATTACTCACGCTACTTTTGATATTTTGTTTCCCCGAGAAACTTTGCATTTGCTTGCAAATATTTTGCATTCCATTAAGAAACATTTTGCATTCCCAGAGAAATTTTGCGTTTATTTGCACAAATTTTGTTTTCCCCAAAAAACGAAGCATTTGTGCGCACAAATTTTGCGTTCGAGGAACTTTTGAACAACTTTTGCGTTGGCCTGAGTATTCGCTCAAAAGCATTCAAATATTGTTTCTCCCAACTTAAATTGTTTCTATCTGCAGTTTTGCGGGCTCATACAAAAGAAACAAGCAAACGCAATGTTTCTCAGGTGAGCGCAAAAGATTTGAAAGCAAACGCAGTCATTACAATATAATTTTCCCCTCCCGTTTCATGTTTTCCATCACCATGTCCCCTTAGGGGCTCCATGGTGTGTCCTGAGTTGTAGTTAATATGTTGCTATGTGGTTGCTAGGCTGTTCTTTCATAATAATTGTTAGTAAAAACTACTAATGAGAATAAGAAATAAATATATAAATAAAAAAAGAGTAACATAAAAGAGAAATGAAACTACCATCTAATCCCGGCATTTCATCTTTAATGTTGTCATTCTGATCTGACACAGAAGCAACTTGGATTACCTGAAAAAATAAATAAACAATTATATACACAAACACACACATAGAATTAATAAGTGTTAATAAAGACAGTCATCATAAAAAATATATATATTTGAAATAAAAACTCAGAAGCAAGTTCAGATTTGCCATCACAGGAATAAATTAGAGTTTAAATTATAAAAGTCATTTTAAATTGTAATAACATTTCAAAAATATATATTTTTACTGTATTAAAACTGTTACTGTTACTGAAAGTAAACCATATGCTTTATGTAATTTCTTTTTCACTTACCAGCTGAGCAAATGTGGTCACTTTGAGTCTTTTAAATAGCTCATCCTTCCTATATCTGTAGTCTGGAGAAAAAATATATATAATAAACATGCATTTCAAATGATGCAGAGCTGCTGCACAAAAACAATTCTAATGCATTTTACCTGGATCCTGAGTGTTACCATTTCTCACTTCATCTTCATTTAAAGAAACATCATTTAAATTCACACCCAAAATATCAAACTCCATTTTGATACAGATTAAACTCACTAAACTTGACTTTAACAAGCCAATTGCTGCAACAAACTGAGACAAGCTCTGCCAACGTCTCTTTTTATCTTTGGCAAGAACTCCAAAGTCCAGCCTCACCACCAAACCCACTGTAAGATTCCAAGTGACACCACTGGATGAGGTTATGCATCTCGGTTTCACTACAGACAATCTTGACAGAGGAATTACTGTAATCTACATGCATCCAAAAGAAGGAGCAAGAATTGCTTATCCTTGAGAAATCAGAGGGAACCTGTAACAAGATGACCATTGGACAAAGCAGTCTTTCTCTCCTCATCAGGTGATACAAATATAAGTAGGACAAGTGCATTTGGAGACAAAACAGCTGAAACAAGTCATTAAGGAGCTGTTCACAAAAGATGCATTACTGTGCCATTCTGCACTGTTTTGTTTATTTTTAATGTAAATACACACTAGTTTTGTAGACCACTGTGATGTGCTTGAATGTCTGCGATTTGTTAGGTGGTGTAAAAAACAAACTATAAGTTAGAATAACCGTCTGAATTAAATGCACCATGACATTTTGAGATATTAAATGTTTCTTCAACAATATGGATTAATAATATTCTGAACTTACTTTTCCTGGCCTCCTCTAGTCTCTCCATATATTTTGTCAGACTGAAGCCTAGAAAATAAACAGGGTTAGTCATTACATATTTTGTCATCCAATGAGTATTCAAAACGCTAGCCACCAAAAAGTGGATACCTGTATCAAGTCGTGTTTTAACATGTTGATATTTGGGGTTCTGGGGAATCCTCTTCTTTAAATACTAGAGGGAAAACAAGCATTCATTTCAATAAATCATACTCTCATTGTGTAACTATTACTATTCTGATATAATTCTTTTTGGGATCAATGTAATTGTTTACGTTGGCTAAACTCTAGCAGACAGTGGCTCGTCACACTCAGAGAAAATGTATTATGTGTTTGAAACAAACATTGAGTTTAATGTGAATATAAAAGCCTCTGTAAGCTCCAATAACATCCATTACTATATAAATGGTTCATTTATTGATTAGGACTGGTAGAAAATAATACAACATGAAAGCATCAGCAGTGAACTGGTGTTGATGGTCACCGGTATGGCAACGGAGGAGCAGCTGAGCTACACTAGTGTCAGATTCCCCTTTAAACCCCAGCTTCCCATGTAAAACATTAACGTTATTCAGAGCTAGCTTTCAAAATATACGTTTCGCAAATGACACTTTGCAGAAACATAAAAACACTGACCTTTGAATCGCCAATCCCCCGCTTGACAGACATCTTTATTTTAGCTGAGCTTCGGCGGCTAATGTTAGCTTCCAAAATCAAAACTCAAAGTGTTGTCTGTTTGAGCAAACTCTTCACTGATTGGCCCGTTGAAATGTTTATCCAATCAGTGACGGACTTCTTTTAACCTCAGTGTTAGTGCTGCTGCTTTACCGTTTGGGGTTGTTGCTATGCGACGGCGTTATTTCCAACGCTTTTTCAACTGTTCAGTGACAGAGAGCCCAGTCGGCAGAATGTATTAAATTATTTTTCTGATCTAACGTTTTGTATTTTACCAGTAATTTATCTTTTTTTTTCTGAAGACAATTGTTTACAATGTTTGGCTTGTATATGCAACTACGTAACTCTACAGACAGTATAATCTTTGTGAAACAAGCTTGCACATTTTAGTATTAATCCCAGCAAGCCTTCTGTTGCATTAATTTAGGAGGGTGGGTTAACGTGTTACATTGGAGGTTTCCATTGACTTCAAGCAGAGGTTTATCTGTGTAAATTAGTATTTTGTCAGTCTTAATAACGATTCATGTATGTAAATAATTTAATTGTAAATCCATATTGCTCATCTAGTCCCCCTGACTCGATGATTCGGAGCGTGATTTGTTTGGTCTGGGGAAAACGCGGCTTGTTTGACAGATGGGAAGTGGCTCAAAATGAAGGAGTTTCACTTGTTTACTTGTAAAACAAAGAACAATCTGCACCAAATTTAAAAACTTTCTCGACGTTTTCCAGAACAATGGCGTCTGTAATGGTAAGACTACTTTTAGAAACATTTTAAAGTGTGAATGTAGACTTTTTATTTAGTTTCTAGTTTAATTAACTTAGCTAAGTTAAGCTCTGTGCAACTGTGCTGAAAAGTTTCGTGTTTATGTTTGATTACAGATACTAATATTGGTTATATTTGACGAAATTGACAAATTTCACAACATAATACAAAACAATAATTAGCAAACAAAAAAGACTATGGAACTAGAATAGTTTTAGACGTGGTACCGTGGTAACTTACAACCATTGTGTTGTCACCATGTGTGTGTGTGTGTGTGTGTGTGTGTGTGTATATAAAACTTAAGAAATATGTATGTAAATTTAACAATCACTCACATTGTTTTATTGAAAAAACTTTAGAAAACAAACATTTTATAACTTATTCTTCTATGATATCCTTTTCAGGAGGATCCCACCCTTGAGAGACATTTTAAAGGTCACAAAGATGTTGTATCCTGCGCTGATTTCAGCCCCAATAATAAACAGCTGGGTATGTCATTATTATTTATCTTCTATTTTCAGTCAGAGAACATCCCAACATAACCACTTGCAACTTCTCTTGCAGCTACTGGATCCTGTGACAAGAACCTTATGATCTGGAACCTCGCTCCAAAAGCAAGGGCGTTTAGGTTTGTGGGTCACACGGACATCATTACAGGTGTTCATTTTTCTCCAAGCGGATCTTTGGTGGCATCTTCATCCAGAGATCAGACAGTTCGACTTTGGACACCCAGCATGTGAGTACAGATGATCCCTTTTAAAGGGTTAGTTCAGCCAAAATTTAATTAAAATGACTAGCCCTCAAGCCATCCTAATAAGTGTATATGACTTTCTTCTTGTTTCAGCCAAACACAGAGTTATATATAAAAAAAATCCTGGCTCTTCCAAGCTTTATAATGGGAGTGAATGGTACCTTTTTTTTTTTAAGCCACAAAGTGTATTCATCCATAATAAAAGTAATCAATGTGGCTCCAGGGGGTTAATAAAGTCCTTTTGAAGATATCTGTGTTTATAACTTTATTATATATATATTCACTAGCTTCAGGTAATGGCCGTACGCGAGTCAAGTTCCGGCGGAAGAGCCGACACTTTGACGAATACGGAAGCGCGAGGATAGAGCAAAAAGAAAAACACCGGAGAAGTATTAAAAAGTGAAACGTCAGAGGAGCTTGAGTGAGCTGATTGCAGTTTATAAAATTATAATTATGGATACTTTTCGTACAAAAACACATCGCTTAACTTCAGAAGGTCTTTGTTAATCCCTTTGAGACATATTAATTACTTTTATGATGGATGGATGCACTTTTTTGGGCTTTAAAATCTCAGTTACTATTCACTGCCATTATAGAGCTGGGAAGAGCCAGGGTATTTTTCAATATCTGATTGTGTTCGGCTGTAAGAAGAAAGTAATATACATACACCTAGCACAACTACATAACTAACCCTTTAATGTATCATTTGTATCTTTATGCATTATTGTCTGTTAATAGAAAGGGCGAGTCAACTGTGTTCAAAGCACACACAGCGAGCGTTCGAAGCGTTCATTTCTCCAGCGATGGCCAAAGGCTGGTCACGGCCTCAGATGACAAGTCTGTAAAAGTGTGGGGTGTCGAACGGAAGAAATTCCTCTACTCTCTAAACCGCCACACCAACTGGGTACGCTGTGCGAGGTATGAGACTATGTGCCTAACCTCTCCGGTTTTGTCACATAAAGTGGGATTTCTCTCACTGTCACTTGTCCTGTCTGTCCCTGTCAGGTTTTCACCAGATGGTCGTCTCGTTGCTTCCTGTGGCGATGACAGGACGGTTCGCCTCTGGGATACATCCGCACGTCAGTGCATAAACGTTTTCACAGACTACGGCGGGTGAGAGTTGAGCGTTGTTGGTTCTTTTTGAGGATACTGTATGTTTATTAGATCAAAGTTTTCTGATATTTTAAACTGTCTGTTTAGGTCAGCGACATTTGTGGACTTCAATTCCAGTGGCACATGCATTGCATCATCGGGAGCGGACAACACATTAAAAATCTGGGATATTCGTACAAACAAGTTAATACAACATTACAGAGGTAGTTCATATAAATGGGAGATGGTTTCACATCATGAAAATTCATTTGTTTTTTTAATTAGTCACAAGACTGGTCTTGTTTTCATACATTTTAATTTATCTTGCAGTTCATAGCGCAGGGGTCAACGGCTTTTCCTTCCATCCATCCGGAAACTATCTGATCAGTGGTTCGAGTGACAATACAATGAAGATCTTGGACCTGCTGGAGGGGAGGCTCATTTACACCCTTCACGGCCACAAGGTGCCACCCTCAGCTCGAACAATTGGGAATTCATCCCAAAAAAATTATTATTATTATTTTACTCACCCTCATGTTATTTCAAATGCCAAAGTTAAATTCCAAATTTTTTTTCTTCTTTTTTTGTTTTTTGAAAATGCTATATTTCTTATTTGACTGGTAATATTTGGTCTATTATGTTTTGCTTTTTTGTGTTACTGTCTATAGTGAAGCCAAAGACAATTTTACACATAATAAAGTTTCTAAATATGAACTGAAAATAGTCATATGAAGAACTTTTAACAGTGGTAAATTAATATTTTTATTTCATTCATTCATTTTCATTCAACTGTCATTGTATGGCAAGAGCTGCATAATAAAAAATAAAAAAATAAAAAAATAGAAATAATTTTTTAATAATTCATAGAAAAAAAGAAATATTCCTAACATTTTTGTGTATTTTGTGATGTAGACCTGCATTAAACAGCCTACCCTAAGAAACAACAGTGTAAGAAAATCCATAAAGTGTAATTTTTTTCCCCTCTGCTCTCAGGGTCCAGTGTTGGCTGTGACGTTTTCTCGAGATGGAGATCTGTTTGCTTCAGGAGGTGCTGACTCCCAGGTAATTGTGATTTAATGTTAATGTTTTACTATCCGATTACCGTCGAGCTGATCATGTCACTTATGCTAGTGATTGTCTGGGTTTCAGGTTCTAATGTGGAAGACCAACTTTGATTCACTGAACTACAGAGAGCTGTTGAGCAGGCATAGCAAACGAGTCACTCCAGATCCCCCTCCACACCTGATGGACATTTACCCTCGATCGCCTCACCGACACTATGCTCAAAATGGCACAGTAGAGGTCAGTGCCCACAATTGAAGTGCTACTACAATACACATGTGTTTCACAAACAGTACTGAGTTTTCTCTCAGGGATCAGTACAGCGTCAAAACTGTAGATTAATCCAGTACATTGCAGTCAATATGTTAGCTCTGTGACACCGACACACACTGCATTCAGGTTAGTTATAATCTCTCATTCTTTCATTTACTTAGATTAACCCCATTGTTGCTGATACTCAGTCTGGTGACCCTCAGGTGATTGAAGTGGGGCGTGTTCTTTTCTCCGCAGCGGTAAGATCTGAGCTCTGACAGGAGCTGATTCATTAAGTCAGAACTGTTTCACTCCAACCACTAGGGGGAAATATAGGCTAGATAATGTAAGCCCTCATCAAAAAGTGTACTGGCACTGCCACACTTGTGCTGTCCCTCATGTTTTTAAAAATGATTATGGTTTTATCTACTCCATATGACAGTGGGGTGTAAAACTTTGAGACAGACCACGTTGAAAAACCATGTTTTCATTCATTGCTTTTCTAATGCTTAAAAAAATTAGATATTTAATTATTTATTAAATGTAATTTTAATATATTTTAATATGATGATAATAATAATATTAATAGTAGTGTGTGTGTGTATGTATGTCTATATATTTAATGAAAATATATATATATATATTTTTAAATAGAGGCACTTGCGGCAAATTTTTGGACCCCACTGTATAATTTTGTTAATATGATGCACATGATGGCTATTAATGTGGCTGGTTTTCCAAAAAAACTGTTTATTATATTCAGCCCAGTGTTGCTTGTGTGGCCGGCAGCTTTCCAAATCTTTCTTATTTACTGCGTGCCTTGTTCTGATCCGAATTATGGGAATATCCTCGTGCTTCCGTGCAAAACGCTGTGCTTTCTGCTTTACAAGCGGATTGAGGAAATGCTGCGAGACAGCACACAACAGACCGTGGGTGCCTCGCTCACGTGTTTACAGGAAGTCTCTTTTTCTCCCCCTCTCATTCTCTCTCTCTCTCTCTCTTTTTTTGAGTGCTCTGATTCTGGCTGTGTAGAGTAGCTCGAGCGTGAAAGCAAAAACACACCGAGCACACACACGTGTCTAAAGCTGGGCTCTGATGTGACCTCACTTTGCTGCTGCAGCCATAGACTAATAATAGACTCCTCCACACTGACTTTAGCTCTCTCTCTTGCTGTCTCTCCCTTTCTTCCATTTGTTCCTTTTGTCTGTACACACTGTAGTGCATAGAGAAAACAAGTGTCCGACTTGGACGTCTGCACACTCGTTGACTAGTCAATTCGTTACGTGATGGGTGTCGACGTTGTTGATCATGTGACTTTAATTGCACTTGTTTCTAAATGGAGCCAGTTGATGTTACTGTACTGCGTCCCAGTGGTGCTATTTGTCTACGTAGGCCTACCACATTCAGGTTTTTGCAAGGCCCATCCTGGTTCTTTAGATTCAGTTCTTCAATTCATTTGAATAACTGTTTCAATTGAGTGTTTTATCAGTTGTAATGAAAAGATTTGAAAGAAAATGTCCATGTTTTTGTGAGTCCCATCCGGATTTGATTCTGATTCACAAGGTTAAGATTCAGAACTTGTTTTTCTGTTCATTTGGGTGTTTTTCAGTTGCAATGAAAAGATTTGAAAGAAATTTTCCCATTCTGATTTACAAGCTTCAGATTCAGTTTTGATTTCAATTCATTTGGGTGTATTTCAGTTGTTCTTCAGATTGCTTTGGAAATATTTTGGCAGCCTCTAAAATGAATCTTTGTCCCGCCTAAGATTTATTTTGATTTATTTTGATCATTTAATGTGACAATACCAGTAACAGAACAAAAAAATCTGATATGTCAAATGATCTGTGCATTAAATCTTGGTCTGCAAGTGATATCATAATGTAATGTTACTTTGTTGTTCACTTTGATTTAATGAATAATAGGAAAAGTTAATATTACAAATAGTTTCTTTGCATTTATTTTGGGTATACTGGCTCGGGTAAGGTACTTTGTAATATGTGTGTTGATGACCCAGGAAATACCCTGCATTTTCTCTCTGCTAATGCGGTGTATTATAAGAGGGCAGTGTTTCAGATTCTTTCAAACTGGCACCTTGTCTTTTTGAACTATTTTTTTTTTAAATAACCGACTCATGGGGGTAATTTGTTTGTATGTCAGACTACCTCTTGCCAGAAACAGAAAAAGGCTACTGAAGCTGCATGGTACATGGTTTAACCCACTGACTAGTCATCTAATCTTCTGGATGAGTAGTAGTTGAGTAGTAAAAAAATAGCCATAGTGTACCACTTTTACCATTCACACTTAAAAAGTGTTCAGTCCAGGATGCCCTCCCAAATCCGACCTGTCAGGGCCCATTTTCAGGGAAACCCTGTCATTGTCTGGCCCTGAGCATCCTGCAGTCCTTCAGGACAGAGTTTCCTCATTCTGCTTCCCTGCCTTGCGTGCATTGGAGAAGAGAAATGAGGAAGTGGACGGCAGAGAGAAGTATGACCCGTGGCGCCTTTTTGTGTGACGCTTCCTGCCATCACTTCCTCTTGACTGACTCTCTCTGGAGTCCTTTCAGCTTGAGTGTGTGTGTGTGTGTGCAGTGATGCGGTCCTCAATTGGTGGAACTCCTCTGCATCGCGTTCTTTGTTGACTCCCTGATGCATTATGCATAGACAATATAAGCAAGACCAGAGGCATCTGAACAGCAGGGAAAGGATCACGACTCAAGTATTAGCCTGTGTCAAAGCACTAGTGGGTCTGGTGGTAAGCAGTAGTTAGTTACGTCACTTTCCAATCCCACTCCCACCTCTTGTACATCAGTAAAATAAATCATATTTTACTATAATAATACCTTTTTTTTTTACTTGTATCGATATGTCTGTTTATTTGAGCATTCAAATCGCATCCTACAGTGCAAGAGATATTGAATTAGTCACAGTCCAATTGCAATATTGTGATGCATCACTGCATATTGAATCTTGATATATCGCATGGTGAGGTAGTAGCGATACTTGATATATATATGGTAAAAAATATTGTTTAACCGAAAGATTCTATGGTATAATATCATCTAATAATTAATAATACATAGATCAATCAATAAATTCAATACATTAATATTGTTAATTTAAATGATTAATAATTTTATACTTAAAAAAATTGGTTATCTTAATACTTACATTTTTGTAGACATTGAACTGCAACGTTCAACAACGTGCTGCTATTCAGCACAGTTCAAGAAGTTCAGTGTGATGCCAAGTGTAACATTCACTCTGTAAAAATGTCATTCTGTGGCTTATCTATAAATCAAATGAGATTCTAAACAAAAGGTTTTTTGTGCTCTATATGTGGTCAAATTTAATAATCATTGTGGCTCCATGAGGATGACTATTCTTGTACAATATAAATGGGTTATTAGTTGCAACTTTATATTAACTTTATAATAAAAATTGGTACAGTTTTCTGATTGTGTCTGCTATTGATGTGGTATACGTGTAAGGTTAGAGACCGATTTCATGGAACGGTTAGGTTTAATTGTGAGTTAAGAGTGTAATAATAGATGCAATTAGAGAAATTAATTACACGTAATTACAGGCAGGTGTTTTTTTAATAGAAGTATAATGTAAAAACATACAGTACATGCAAAAATAATTCATTCTAGGCTATTAAGTGCTTTCAAATTACTATTCAATAATAACATGTAATCAAATTAAAACATCATAATCTAGTTGTTCAACCGAGTGTGTGCATGCTTGTTTGTTTGAGGGTCTGTAGATGTGTGCGCGCCACCTGGTATTACGTGTCTGAAGGTTGCTTGTAGGGGTGACAGACAGGAAACAGGCAAAGAGCCTCTTCCTGTTTTGTAAAGAGCAGGAGATTGGGTGGCCGCGAGGTGTGGATGCCAGCTTGATGGCCTGCCACTGGCTCCGGTGACAAGACGTGACATGACGGAAGTAAATCGCTAAAGATAGAATGGCCCAGGGGAAGGTTCACTTTCCACCGGGAGAGCTTTGAGAAAGATAGCCTTACAGGGAGAGAGAGTGACTAGTCCAAAAAAATCAGATTGCCTTGGAATAGATATTCAGTTTATTGTTTGTGCTTTTTAGAGTTGTTTACTCAACCTTTATGGTGAAACGTACATAGCACCTTTCATTGAAGAAATGTAGGTGGTGAAGTGTGGAAATATGTGTTATGGTTATGCAACCGCAGTCATCTTTTAACTGTTATCGCAAATATCCTTTTGTTATGACAGTAGGCGGCATTGGCACCAGAGTTATTACACCTTTCTTAGATTCTCCTGAAACTAACCGCAACTAAGGCAGATAATAAAAAGGGTCAGTTTGCATGTCTCATCCGGCCCATAATCCCCTGCACTGACCCAGGGACCTCAGACGAGGACTCCGGCAGACAAACAGGCGCTCACACATCAAAGACACAGGAACCCGGGTTGGTTCATCACTTATTCAGTGTAGGGCACACCCAGAACTCTGTGTGTCCGCCTTAATATTTCATCTCGTTTCTCGCCCATTGTGTCCGTCTGCGCCTCTTCCTTTCTTTTCTGCCTGTCCATTAAATACTGTTTTTCATCCACCCCTTTCATCTCTTTTTTTTCCCCCATTCATCTGTTTTATCTGCTGTCTTTCGTGTTCCACCAAAGGCTATTGACCCATCTCCTAGAATAGAGCTGTTCCATCCATTGAGTCACACTGGCACTTTAACTTAATGGCTGATCTCACTTCCTCCATTAAAGCAGATGGTTCCTAAATAGTCCAGAACTCGTATTAAGTACCTGTCAAAACGAAGCACAATCACGTTGACTGTAGAGTTGAAAGGACCTTATCAGAATCTGGCTTAGGGTCTGTTTTTCCTCTCTCATCTGACATTCTCTCTTTCTCCATGAGCTCTCTCAAGGGTATATGGTGGCCCAGAGGGGCATAGCTTAAAATACGCTGACAGTTCGTCAACATTGATTCTAAAAATAGTCGGTCTGTGCTATTGCAGGTAACAGGGACACCTCAAAGGCAAACGGTGAGCTGCTCTCCTGCAATGCACTCACTGTGCTGTCCGTCTACACAATCTCTTCTGTTTCAGATATTATGCTACAGCAGAAAAAGCAGTTTTGTTTACCGGATGAACCATCCTTTACAAAATTACTCATTCAGTTGTTTGGGGTCGGCAATATTTTTAATGTTTTAATGTAACCAGCAAGATTGATGAAAATGTAACTTTTCTTTTATTCACTAGTGGTGCAGAGTTTATACTTTTAACCATA